TACCCAGGTGTTTACCATTTCTGGTGCTCTTTATTTCCACTTGGTATTATTTTCTTTCTTCCTGAGGACTTAGCATTTCTTGTAGTGTGGGTCTAACGGTGACTAACTCTTTAAGGTTTTGAATGTCTGAAAATGTCTTTATTTCACTACCTTTTTTGAAAAATATTTTCATTAGCTATAGATTTCTAGGTTAACAGTTTTTTCTTCCATTACTTTAAAGACATTGCTCCACTGTCTTCTGGCTTGCTTTGCTTTTGATGAAAAGTCTGCTGTCATTCTTTGTTCCTCTAAATTTATAGTTTCTTCATTCTCTACTTTAAAATCTTTCTCGTTATTACTGGTTTTAAATTATCTGATTAATGTTGTGCCTTGATGTAATTTTCTTCATTTTTTTTCTCTCTTTTTTTTTTTTTGGTAATTGCTAGCTTTTCATTGAGCTTCTGAGATTTGTGGGCTTATGGTTTTCATTAAATCTAGCAAATTTTCAGCCATTATTTAAAAAAATTTTTTTTCTGTTCCCTCCCTCCTTTGGAGACTCTAATTACACAATATTTTTGGCTGTTTAAAGTTATCCCACAGCTCACTGATGGGCTTTTTTTCCCAGGATTTTTGTGTGTTTTATTTTGTGTAATTTCTATTGCTGTGTCTTCAAGTTCATGCAATCTTTCTTTCTGCAGTGTCTAGTCCACTATTAATCCTATCCAGTGTATTTTTCATCTCAGATGTTTATGTTGTCTCTAGAAGATCAATTTGGGTCGTTTTATAGCTTTCATGTCTTTTCTTAACAAATTTATGCTTTCTCTATTGAACATACAAAACTTAGTTATACTAATGTTTTTAATAAATTCATTTAGTGAATATGTTATTAAAATCTTATTAAATTACTCAAATAAAATGTTTATTAACTTTGTTAATATCTTTGTTTATTAAATCTGTTTCATTTCTGAGTCTATTTTTATTGATTGAATTTTCTCTTACTACTGAATTTTCCTGTTTCTTTGCATATCTGGTAAATTTTGATTGAATGCTAGACATTGTGTACTTTACCTTGTTAGGTGCTGGATATTTTGTGTTTCTTTATATATTCTTGAGCTTTGTTCTGAGTTGGAGTTAAGCGACTAGAAACAATTTGACCCTTTTCTTTTCTATTTTAATTTTTTGTCCACGCCATGCGGCATGTGGGGTCTAACCCGTGCACCCTGCAATGGAACCGTGGCGTCTTAACCACTGGACTGCCAAGGAAGTCCCACAGTGCGACCCTGTAAACCAGAAGTCTGCAAATTATGGTGCACAAGCCAAATTTGGCCCAGAGTCTATTTATGTAAATAAAGTTTTATCAGAATACAGCCACCCCCATTTACATATTGTCTATGACTGCTTTAACATTACAATGGCAGAGCTAAGTAGTTGCAGCAGAGGTCATATTGCCTGTAAAGCCTAAAGTATTTTCCATCTGGCCCTTTACTAAAAAAGTGTTGTGATTCCTCTTTAATGGCTTACTTTTAAGATTTGTTTTGTTTTGTTTTTTTTGGCCGCACAGTGCAGCTTGTGGGATCTCAGTTCCCCAATCAGGGATCGAGCCCAGGTCCACAGCAATGAAAATCTGTGTCCTAGTCACTGGACCACAAGGGAATTCCCACTTTTAAGATTTTTTAGGTAGGATCAGGGCAGCCTTTAGTCTAGGGCTAATTTTGCCTCACCACTGAGGCAATACCCTTCTGAGCACTCCATCTAATGCCACTTGTATTACAAAGTTTTTCTACTCTGAATGGTGGGGATGCACACTTCCCAGCCCTACATGAGCTAACTTTCCCTTCCCAGTGGTTTTTCTCCAAGCCTTGGGTAGTTCTCTCGTAAGCACGCACTAATCAGCACTCAGCTGAAGACTCCAAGGGAACCCTCTGAAGATCTCCAGAGCTCTCTTCTCTCTGGTCCTCTGTCCTGCAAATTCTAGCTGCTTCAACCTCCCTGAATTGCCAGCTTAATCACCTCAATTCAGGGTGACTACTAAGCTGTGTCTGGGTTCCCCCTTACACTGTGGCCTTGGGCACATCATTTGTTTCCTTTATCTCAAGGTTAACTGTCTTATGCCACTTGTCACCCAATGTTTGAAAACCTTTGTTTCATACATTTTATGGGGTTTTGTTTGTTTGTTTGTTTTGCTAAGGCAGGATAATAAATCCAGTTCCTGTTACTACATCATGACTGGAAGTCATGGTAGAAGTCCCCTCAGTATGATATTCCAATTCCTTACATTTGCATTAATGTTTTATATTTTAAAATAAGTACTGACAAATCTACACTATCTCATTTCATCCTCTCCACATTGCTAAAGTGTAGAGATCACAAAAAATGCAAAAAATTTTCTGGGGTCACATTACAGAGCAGCTCATGTCTCCTAGTCATTTTCTCTTCCATAAAATATACATAATTTTTTCAAAATTTACTATATGTAATGACATAAATTATAAAAGACTGTCTTCTCTACAAAGTACACTGTAAAATAATTTATTACTAGTATCTCAAGCTTATAAAACTGAGCAATATCAGATTAAAGGATTAATAGTTACTGAATGTTGCTAATGGCCAAGTCTATCACCTCAATTAATCCTCATAAGTCTCACAACTATTATTATTTCAATTTTATAAAAGACAAACTGTGGCTAAGAAAGCCTCATTAACTTGCTTATAGTGTACTTATTGGAATCACAGCCAGAATTCAAGCCAGGCTACACTTGGTTCTAAAACTTGTGCTATCCACCATTCTGTCTGCTCTTAATTTATAGCTCTTAAAAAGCACACTTCTGGAACTAAATTCTGATAGAACACTCTAAATCTTCAGTAACAAAATGGCATTAGGAATCATTTACTAAAAATATCAGTATCTACTCATTTTTACCAAAGAACTTCTAATCAAACAAGCACTGAAAAGAAAATGAAGTATATTCTTAGAAGAAATTTCAAACCTAGTTTTTCTCCCAGTAATCCTAGAAATACATAGATGATTGAGATTTTAGTTGCTTTTTTCACTTACCTATCTCTGTGGTCACGAGGCAACAAGAGAAGGTTGTATTAGGCAAAGTCAGTAACCGCTATACAATCCATTTTCCCTATCCCACTTTCCCATCTTTGTAAACAAAACACACAAAAATTATTACTCTCGTAGAGTTCATCTTCAAGTGAAAGGGAGACAGATAAGTAAAATATATAACAGAAGGTGGTTAAAAAAATAAAATACTGGGACTTCCCTGGTGGTGCAGTGGTTAAGAATCCGCCTGCCAATGCAGGGGACACGGGTTCGAGCCCTGGTCCGAGAAGATCCCACATGCTGCGGAGCAACTAAGCCCGTGCGCCACAACTACTGACCCTGCGCTCTAGAGCCCGCGAGCCACAACTACTGAACCCACGTGCCACTATTGAAGCCTGCATGCCTAGAGCCTGTGCTCTGCAATGAGAAGCCACTGCAAGGAGAAGCCCGCGCACCACAACGAAGAGTAGCCCCTGCTCGCCGCAACTACAGAAAGCCTGCATGCAGCAACGAAGACCCAACGCAGCCAAAAAATAAATAAAAACAAATAAATTTATTTTAAAAATAATAATAAATAAATAAAGTACTGTAGTGATAGGAAGTGCTGGGAGTGTAAGGCAGGGAGAAACAGTGGTAATTTGAAATAAGGTAGTCAGGGAAGGCCTGGATACGGAGATGACAATTTTGCAAAGATTTAAAGGAGGTAAGGAAGTGAGTCATGTGGCTATTTGTGGGAACAGTAATTGCAAAACCCCAATGTAGGAACAAGAATATTGGTATGGCTAAAGCAGTGAGTGAGGGGGAGCAGTAAAAGGTTAGGTTAGATCAGAGGTAATGGGGGCCCATATCATGTAGAAGTTGATAAGCCTCTGTGAAGAGAGGCACCGGAGTCACTGGAGCAGAAAAGTAACATGATCAGACTTAAGAGTTTTAAATAATTTATCTGGCTGCCATTTGGAGAATGGGTTATAGTGGAGAAAGTGTAAAAGCAGGGAAACAAGTTAGGAGGCTATTTTAATAAAAAGATGAAGGCTTTGACCAGTATGGTAGTGGAATACATGGTGAAAAGCAGTCATCTCCTAGATATATTTAAGGCAGAGCTGACAGTATTTCCTGACAGCTGGGTGTATAGGGGATGACAGAAAGAAGAGAGGATGATGGTGCCACAGAGACTATCTGAGCAACTGGAGGAATGTAGTTGCCATTTACTGAGATGAGGAAGACTAAGGAAGAAGAAAGTTTGGTTGGAGTGGAGAGGATTAGCCATTTAATACTGTAAATGTTTTCAGTGATAGAGGGGATAATTCATTTCCCAGGTTAAAAATGTTTGTTCAAATCTATTTCAAATGTTTAGATTTCACTGAATTAAAAAAAACTACCATGAAACAGGAGATCTAAATTTTTCTTCAATATGCTACAAGAAAAAGTTACTGAACAGACATATAGCTACTCCAAATGATAAAATGAGAATAAAGCTAAATTCTCCCAATCTGCAATTCTCCCTTCATTTCATCTCATTGCCAGATTTTCACAGATAAACGAAACAGAATTTGTTATACCTCATTAGGCAAACCATTCCCATTAGTGGCTTTCTCCCAGGATGTTGTGTCCCTCTTACTATCTGCCACAAGGATGTTCTAGGTGAAGACTGTGATGTCCAACGGGATGGATGGATGTGCCACCTCAGCTCCACAGATGGCACTTTGCTCCTGCTAATCATAACCCTGATGGGAAGTCACTCCAAAGAAACAGATGGCCCCAGCCCAAGATGTGTAATTCAAACCTTCTCAAAATAACTATCACCTAATGGTATGAGAAAAAGTGAGACTATCTTTAAAATAATATAAGAACCAAATAAAAAAAAAGGTTTTGCTCTAATTCTTGTTCAGATTCCCTAGAAAAATATTCTCATGTAATTAGAAAATATACAAGGTTGGAGGTGAAGGATAAAGAAATTAAAATATCAACTTACAAAAGCCAATGATGACTATGTTGTCAATCAGGCGGGAAAAACCTAAAAACAAAAATAAAAACTATATATTAGTTTTATATAGTAGTTGTGTGTGCATTTTTAATTGTAACTTCATTGAGATAATTGCAGATTCACATGAAGTTTTAAGAGAGATTCCTCATGTCATCCTTTCATAAGTACACCCACCTCCTTCCCCACAACCTCCTTCTGTCCCTAACCCCTTGTATATCTATTTTTAACACTAAAATAACATCCATTTGTGAACAATAAGTATCTTACTCACTGTGTGTTAAGAGTCTACTGTGTAGTTGAATGTCAAATCATGAATAAGGAATTCTATTTTTCTGCATTAAAGAGTAAGTTTCAGTTTAAGGAACAAATTCTCTGAAAAGATGTTTGTTCCTCGTTACCTTAACATAGACTACTCACTTCAAAAATCAAAAGGTAAAAGGTAAGCTAAAGTAGTGACCGAACTCATAGATTTCATATTTTTAATATTTACTTTAAAATATTTTATTCTTTAGAGCAGTTTTAGGTTCACAGTAAAAATGATGGGAAGGTGGTTTTCTCGTTGCTGTTTTTTTTTTAATTTATTTTGGCTGCGCGGGGTCTTAGTTGCAGCATGCAGGATCTTTAGTTGCAGTACGGGGACTTCTTAGTTGCAGCATGCATGCAGGATCTAGTTCCCCGACCAGGGATCGAACCCAGGCCCCCTGCACTGAGAGACAAGAGTCTTATGCACTGGACCACCAGGGAAGTCCCAGGAAGGTGTTCTTAATTTCAAATTCCACTTGTTCATTGGAAATAAGGAAAGCATATATAGGAAAGCAACCGACTTTTGTATAATGAACTTGTATCCTACAATGCTGCTGTAATTGCTTATTGGTTTTGCTACTGAGGTAAGGCTAGCCTCATTGAATGAGTTAAAACGTATTCCCTCTGCTTCTATCCTTTGAAAGTGATTATAGAGAACCAGCATAATTTCTTCCTTAAATGTTTGGCAGAATTCACCAGTAAAACCATCTGGGCCTGGTGCTTTCTATTTTGGAAGGTAATTATTTACCTGAATTCTTTAATTGAGAAATCCTCTTCAATTGTCTATTTCTTCTTCTGTGTTTTAGCAGATTGTCTTTTAAAGAGTTGATCCATTTCATCCAGGTTATCAAATTTGTGGGCACTTAGTTCATTGTATTCCTTTATTATCCTTTTAATGTCCAAGGGATCTGAAGTGATGTCCCTTCATTTCTGATATGAGTAATTTGTATCCTCCCTCTTCTCTTCTTAGTTAGCCTCATTAGAGGCTTATCAATTTTATTGCTCTCTTCAATAAAACCAATTTTTGTGTCCTTGCTTTTCTCTATTGATTTCCTATTCTCAATTTCATTGATTTCTGGTCTAATTCTTATTACTTCTTTTCTTCTCCATACCTTAGATTTAGTTTGCTTTTCTTTATCTAGTTTCCTAAGATGAAAACAGATTGATTCTTCCTTCCTAGCATATGCATTCAATGCTATACATTTCCTTCTAAGCACTGCTTTCTCTGCATCCAACATATTTTGATAAGTTGTGTTTTCATTTTTATTTAGTTCAAAATATTCTTAAATTTCCCAAGATTTTTTCTGACCTATGTATTATTTGTAAGTATGCTGTTTAATCTCCATGTATTTTGAGAATTTTCCAGTTGTCCTTCTATTATTGACTCTAATTCCATTGTGGTCTGAGAGCAGATATCATATGATTTCTACCCTTTTAACTTTGTTAAGATGTGTTTTATGTGGTCTACCTTGATGAATGTTCCAAGTGAGTTTTATGTGGTCTACCTTGATGAATGTTCCAAGTGAGTTTGAGAAGAATGCCAGTATGCTTGGGTTCAGGTAAGAACCCTCTTCAATGTTGAAGACTGCTGACTTCTCATTGTACTCTCACGTGTCAGGAAAAACAGCTGGCTAGTTCTCTGGCCTCTTCTCATAAGGGCACTAATCTCATTCATGAAGGTTCCACCCTCATGATCTAATTACCTCCTGAAGCCCCACCTTCAAATATCATCACATTTGGCATTAGTATTTCAACATGTAAATTTTGTGTGGACATAAACATTCAGTCCATTGTAATGACCTTATATAGAGATAAAGACAATTTAGTCATTTCTGAACCACCTCACTCTCTACAAAATCTCACACCAATAATAGCACAAGCTGGGGGAAAAGCTGGGTAGACTACTCAAAACCTATACAATTCTGTAATCAGAGAGCTAACCAAATAATAACGGGTACCTTGACCTTAACTTGGACAGCCCCAGCAGGCAGCTCAGTGTAACTGAAGAGTGACTCAGGTAATATCAAAAATGCTCAAAAACAATAGAATGGAAAGGCTACTGCAGGAGAAATGACGACAAAGGGTTCAGAGATGGGGTCTCACAGCTGGGGAGAGTGACTTCATTCTAACCCTGTCAACTCAGACTCAGCTGGGTTCCAGAGCCTGCACAACTCCAGAATATTCCCTCACTCTTATTAATTTCCCATTTTCTCTACTATCTTCCAAATGACCTCCCACTCCCCACAGTTGTACATACATCTCTTTGCTAACATCTCTACTTCATGCTTCACTGAGAGAGAAAAGGAGGGGGAGGGAAGGGGGCAGAGAGAGAGAGAGAGAGAGCGCGCGCGCGCACTACTGGGTGGAGCATCTCATCTTCCCAATGCTAAACCTACAAATTTCTCTTCCTAGCACCAAAGGTCAACCCCACCTCGCCATCCAAAGTGTTCTCTCCATTATCATCCTCTCCCTTTCTACTAGAGGTACTTCTCCCCAACACACAATCATGCTCTGGTATTTCCCAACCTTTAATAAACAAAACCTTCACTGACCTCGCATTGCCCTCCAGTTCCCACTATGTTTCACAGACTAACTTTCTCAGATTAACTTCACAGAAAAGAATTGAAAACAGATAATCCCCATTTCCTGACCTCCTATTCACTTTCCAACCCATTCCCTTGGCTCTTATCTCCACCACTCTATCAAAGGATCCTTATCAAGGTCATCAAAGCAATTCCTATTATCTTCATTTAACAAATCAGGACACTGAAGCTCAAGAGAAATTATTAGGTTGAGATAGTAAAGATACATACCTTCCCTTGGAGATAAGCAAGAGCCTAGGGCTGCCCCAAAGCACTCTTTTCAGGATATTAAACTAAGGACTTTATCTTCCACGGACCCCCACCTCTTTCCTTCCTTATGTCAACCTCCCTGTACTAAATCTCAGATTTACTTCTTAAAATACCTCATTACTTTTCATTATTTTAATTGAGAAAAAACCTTTGCTTGACCTATGAATATTTTCTGCGTAGGCCACTTGGTGTATATTATATTGATCACGACAACCTGAGAATAGGTGGGTTTATCCCCTTTATACAAATAAGAAAATTTTGGCTCAGAAAGAAAAAATACCTTCCTAATATTGGACAGTTATGAAGTAGTAGAGCTAACATTTGATCTGATCACCCAGATTCTGCTCCCCAGGCTGACTGCCTTTCATGATGGTTAGATGTCACAGTTTCTTAGTTGTTCCCATTACATGGTAACAGGGTAAGGGCATCACTAAGAGAGATATGACATAGTCCCAATACCTCCATAAGGTCAGAAAACCTAGGATTGATATAAATTTGCTACGAGCAAAAACATAAGAAACTGATTTATATATTATAATGAGGACTTTATAATAATAGTAATAATTGTCAAGACATTCAACTCAACTTTGGTGATCAGGGCATTTTCCCCTTCTAGCTCTATCTAGGAAGCTAAATTAGTAAGCACGAGAATGGTATAGATTTACGTGCTCATTCATATCTTACTCTCATTTTCTAGGCAACACAGATATTACACTTGCTCAGCACTGTCCTTAAACATGGGCAAGAGTGGTTCACAGCAAACCCTTCCCTCCACAGTGAAAAGTCCAAGTGTCTAAGAGGACATACCCACCCAGGCCCAGACTCCCCTCCTAGACTATGCTCCAGGATCCTGGAACCACGGAATTCTGGTTCAAAGAGCTTCAAGCCTGCCACCAGGGACTGCACAATCCTTTCACCTAAACCTGTTACTTTTTAGGACAGATCATGCCACTCTGTGTGCCACACTAGGCTCAAGAGGTGGCCAAGGGGTGGCTGTTTGTAGGGGTGTGGACATAACCAAATGTGTGCCCTTCATAGTGCAGAATTGGGCCAAGAATGTGAAGAAAAGAGAAGATGGGCCAGCTCTCCCTACACTGTCATGTTCTAAAGGTGCAGAAATCTCAAGACTAAGAATTCCACATTCAAACCTGGTTTTCCAGGTCATTTGAGATCAATTTGTCAAGGAATGATAGAGTATATTTTTGTAGTTAGTTTACTGTCTTAAAACTTTTAACTGTTTTGAGTCACAGTACCAGTCCTTCTGTTTATATTCCTGCTTGGACTTCTCTATCTGCTTATAGTTAGGCAGGGCCATGTGACTAGCTCTGGGCTGCCAACAAACAGTTAATTACTGGCACAAGACCATTTAATATTATCTTTCCTTACCACGTAAATCGAGACCAAGTATTTCAGAAAGCATACAGCTCAGGACGGTGATGCCTCACAGGCCTAAGTCTGACAGTGTGGATGGAGTAGAGCCTCCCACAAATCCACAATGGATGTTCAGTGTGAACAAGAAAATAAACTGTTCTTCTGTGAAGCCACTGAGGTTTGGGGATGGCTCATTAGCACAGATAACTTTAGCCCATCCTGACTATATAGAAATCGGTACCAGAAGTAGGATGCTTCTCTAGCAAAAACCTGAAACACATGACCATGGTTTTGTGGTCAGGAAGCAGTGAGAAAAATTATCTTAAGAGCTGGAAAGACAGTGGCGTATTTTATACAGTGGTGTATTTGGTAAAGCATTTGCTTCTGGTGCCTTGGGAGGCAGATCACCTACCTAATGAAACTGCAGCCCTAGAAGAGGTAACAAAACAAAACACTGGAAGAGTGCACTGGTTATTGGCTGCATTTGGCAAGGTATTCAAGAAA